CCCCCCCCCCAATTCATATCGCCTCCCTCCCCCTCCCTTCCACACCTAAACTAGAAACCCTCCCAGCCTCATTATTCCTCCCTCCTCTCCCTCCTCTCCTCTTCCTATTTTTTACTTGCCATTGTCTTCTTCATCCGCAAAACAGCCTTCGCAATCTTCCCATCCACAGCGCCCCCTCCCCCCTCCCCTCATTTGCCATCTTCTTTTTCTTCGCTTTCTTCTCCGTTTTCGACTGATTCCGCGAAGAGCGGTCGCAATGTCGCCGCCTCCGCTGCCATGTCCTCAGGTGTCCTCTCCTGTCGCATCTTGTCCAGATTCAACGTCTCAGAAAGCTTCTCCTCGCTTTCATCTATGGCGTCGTACACTTCATCGTTTGGTGTGAAATCTCCACCTTTGCGGGGCACGATGTGAACATGCACATGTGGAACCGCCTGCCCCGCCTCTTTGCTGTCCTGAATAGTCAGAGTGAGTGACGTGGCATCATGGTGAGCCTCGAGCTTCCGCGCGATGCGGTGCGCGACCTGCCACAGATCTACGACTTCCGCGCTTGTTAGGTCCGCGTAGCGCTGAACTACCCTTTTGGGACTGACCAGCACGTGACCTGGAACGACTGGTTTCAGATTGACAAACGCGTAGGAGAGGGAGGTCACTAGGAAGACTTCCCTAAAATGGATAGGATGAGGACCGAAAGAGTAGTTGGTCTCTGTCTTCGTCAGACGTGTTCTCTCTGCATCCGTTTGAGCGATTTCCGCGGGGTCACCACCGTCCTTGTGGCCAGGATCAGAGGATGTCATAGGTATCAGGCGCGTGGCAGGCTGCGGAACCTCCGACGGGCGCCGGCGGAGTGCCGGCGATTGCTCCCCCCGCGCTTGCGGGACGGCGAGGGCGGAGACGACCAGTCTCGTTCGCCGCGAAGCTTGCGCTCGTCGCGGGCGGAAGGTGTGCGCACTCAGCTGGCCGCCGTCGCTCGAGCGCTCGAAATACTCCTAGTCGTAACGTGCGCGCAGGGGGAGGCGGACTGCAGCGGAGCAGGGAAGACGAGGCCGGGGGGGGGATCTGCCAGCTGGAGGAAGCACGCGCGGCGCAAGTGGCGCGCAGCATAGGCGGAGAGCCCGCGAGCCTCCGCCAGCTACACGTAGGTGATCCGACGTCGTAGTCCTCTCCGCTCAGTCGCTCCTCCGACCCTCCCCTTTGCGCAATCCGGACCGCGCGCGGGTTATCATCCAGCGCAGGCTGCTGCCGATAACCTGAACCCACCCTGGTCATGACCGTATCCAGTCCGAAAGATAGGTTGTATGCATTCATGATGAGCTTGTCGCCTTGTGTTCGGGGGAAGACTGTAGTGGCAGGCATCTGGAGGAGCAAAGGGCAAAGGCTTGGCGTACCACCTGTTCTACAAATACAAATGGCCATAACTTGTCACTTCTCTGCCACGTGTTTTACACATGGCAATTTTTTTTAGCGTCTCGACGTGCCACGAGGCCATTGGTGATCGACTGATGCGATATCTATCTAGCGCACGGAGTTTCATCATAATATCATAATATATATTGATTGAGATAAGAATAGAAAGCGGCCTACAGTCTTCCCCTGAACAGAACATGCACTATTCAACTTTTTTTTTTTTTTTTTTTTTTAAGTCCATTTCTCAAAGGCGGCCCCGGAAATCTAAATACTGCGCACGTTGAAATAGTACTCACGTGTCCAATAGTACGCTCGTATGTTCTATTCGACCAGACGGGTGTTCTATTCAAATAGAAACACACGGGTGACGTCTCTCTCTCTCTCTCTCTCTCACACACACACACACACACACACACACACACAGAGAACCGCCCGCTCCCTTCCGATCACTCCCGCCTGCTCTCTCCCTTCCGATTGCTCCCGCCCGGCTTCTTGACGGGCTGTTGTGTTTTTTTTTGTTCTTTTTTCGTTTTTTGTTTTTGTTTTTTTCAATCTTCTTTTGTATATATTCTATCTCATCCTCTCGCTACTGTATCTATAGTAGGGGGGAACACCCACCAACCAAACCCGGAGCTGTCCCCAGCCCACGGGGTAGGTTGGCACCACAGCAGTGGTGCGAGAGCGAGGCTTGTATCAGCCCCTCATCACGATGATGCAGGGCGATCAGGCATTGCCGACGGGGGAAGCCGGGGATGCTAGTGCCGAGCATCTTTGGCCAGTCACTTGCACCTCCCCCTCCCCCCCTCCAACCCCACATTAGTGGTGTCTAATGGCGAATATCATTGCTGCATAGCAACGAACAATATTTATTTGGCCAAGGTCCTGCCAACGCTGGCTTGGAGGGCCGACTGGTTATCTCTACCTGGTAGAACACCAATCTTGCCCAGGCACGAAAGTGAGGTGGGTGGGGATTGAACCCATGACCTCCTGAATGCAACTTCTGTGTCTTACCAACTGAGCATTTGGACTATTTGAAACGGTTTTCACCTTTGCAGTAGCAGATGCAGATCGCAGGGCTCGATCCCTAGACCTCTCCCCACCCGTGTACAGTACCCCTGTATGTTTGAACCGGTGGCCTGCGTTTTAGGAATCAGTTGTTGTCTGTTGTAGGTCGATGTAGCTGTCGGGTCTTGTCGAGTAGGGGTCATAGTTGTGTAGAGGCCGTAGCTGTAGCAATTCTGAAAGGTCAAGGTGGTAGCTACTGCAGTCCTGAAAGGTCGAGGTCGTAGCTGCTACGGTTCCGAAAGGCCAAGTCCGCAGGCTTCCGGAAGGTCCGGAAGTGGCCTTTCGAATGTTGCTCACAGCAGACCAGAGGCAAGTGGGCAAGTGGTGAGTCCAACCTTGTCTAGTCAGCGGTACCCAGTCCCAGTGTCCTTTAGTCCAGTCAGCAAGTACCATGTGGGTCCGATGTTGCTCACAGCAGACCAGAGGCAAGTGGGCAAGTGGTGAGTCCAACCTTGTCTAGTCAGTGGTACCCAGTCCCAGTCTCCCTTAGTCCAGTCAGCAAGTACCACGTGGGACTGTGTGCACGAAGGGCCCGGAGGAAAGGGGGCAGACCAGCGACCAACAGAAGTATAAATCAAGAGGCAGCGTCCAGCCATTCATTCATTCTGCTGTGCGCCATGCGGAAGCGCTGCCTGAGCGTCTTGTGCGAGGTGGTCTGCAGATGCCCGAAGTTGAAGTGGGCCGTGAAGGAGATAGAGCGCCATAGTTAGAAGTAGCGGGCGCCCATAGCTGCCATAGCTAGTGTTAGGAGTTGAGTGCGTGCGAACAGGGGTTGTGGACACAGTTTCAGACGTGAGTTGTTTGGGTGCTCAGGCGCCATAGCCTGTTTTGAAGCGAGTTTGTATATGAACTGTGTTCTCGGTCTTCATATCTCTGAGCTTTGTGTGGGCGCCTGGCGCCAGTTTTTTGGATTCCATGTGTTTGCATGCATGCGAGTCGAAGAAGAAACGAGTCTGATTGCACTATTCCTGTATTTATGCATGTCATCCTTGCACAGAGGCCATCCTAATCCTGAAGGACAAGTACGGATACAGGGTACTAATTGTTTCTTGGGGCCTGTTTTCGAAAGTTGGTACCCTGTATCTGTAGCATAACACACGTGCGTTATATATGAATAGAACATACCCCAAATGTGCTTTTTGTTCAGGGGAAGACTATAGGTCAGTTGGTTAGGCACGCAAATGACATTTTGGAGGTACCGGGTTCAATCTCGCAGACAGCCTGGGGGATTCTTTTTGTGCCAACGAGATGAGATAGTTGAAGCCAACAAGCTGAGATAGTGTCTCAGCTTGCTCTCCCTAGTTCACAGCAGCCGGTAGGGTTGCGTTTATACACCCAAGTCATTTTCATTTTCTTCTTCGGTCATTATACGGGTCGTCTGTGCACGGCACTGCACGCCCAATGGTCATTGGAAGGGTGTTAAAATGCAAGACAGGGGCTTCTAGGGGGGCAGGCAGTCCTTGCAGGCGCAGGACCCGTATTGGCCGCGGTCCTGGAGAAAAAGCCAAAACAGCACACAACCCCCAGGCCTGGAACTGAAAAGCTAGTCCACTTTTCTCGAGTAGAAGGGCACTTTGAATAGAACACATACGTGTTGCATTCAAATACACAGAATATGTTTACTATTTGAATCGAGATGAACAAATATTGTATTCAAACAGAACATTCACCTTCTTTTTTTTTTTGAGCTTAGCGCCTTCTCTTGTTCTCCCGGTCACTGACACGCTGCGCTCTGCAGGGCTCTCTCTCTCTCTCTCTCTCTCTCTCTCTCTCACACACACACACACACACACACACACACACAC